GCGGACCTACTAAGCTCGTATCCGGGGCCGCAACCCCTCCATGCGGCTTGCAGTGTTGGCCGGCCACTGCCCTTCCTCTTTCTGGCGGCCCAATTGCTCCTCTCCCTTTCCAACCCCCTCCCCCCCACCGTGTTTCTTTTTTCGTTTTTCCGTTTTCCTTTTTATTTCATATTAATAGGTCATGGTTCATTTTTCTTTTCTATTCTATTTTTTCTATTCTATTGTAACTCTGACGCTAGTCTGAACCTTACCGTTGTATGTCATTTCAACAATAGCCCAATAAATAAATAAATAAACCAAAAAGAACCCTAGCTTCTAGTCCGTCACGCTCGAAGGTCACGCTTACCAGTACATCGAGCTGCCGTTGAGAGATGAGGCACATTCATGTAACTTAAGCTTCCCTATGTAAAGATCCCTGAAACAACCCTCGTAACTCCGTTCAGAGAACACTTGGCAAATTCGAAAAGCAGATTTGAACAAAGCACCCAAAAACACGTACAGCAGTGTAGTTCTCATCACAAATGACCATTTCGACTTGGGATCCTTCCTGGTAAGATGGGTCGGGCTGAGATCAATAATGCATAACATTGTTCGAAAACTTTCTAGAATATGGAGAAAATCATTAAGGGCAGCTAAAAGAAGAGTGATCAAATTTTATAAGGAGAGAGGTCTGCACTGAGGTGGACAGGACTTTGATCGGCCCTGTTTATCAGTGTAAACCTTTATCGGCTCGCCCGGCTGAGCCGGACTCCCCTCCTTCCCGTGCTGAAATTGCCTCCATGCCTGCATCGCCCATCAAATTTGAGCGCTCTAGGCCCACGGGAACAAGAGCTATGAATTCAACTCAGACCCCGCCAACTGGCCCTCTGCTAGCGGGGTCCGGTCCTGCCGCCTAGCATAAGTGTTCCCAATTTGCCGCCTGCACTCTTACCAAATTTGAACGCTCTAGGACCAAATTCAAGAAGTTCACACGAACCCCGCCCCTTGTGGGTGGAGTCCGGTTCTGCCACACTATGAGTGTCCCCAACCTGCCGCTTGTACTCCTACCAAATTTTAATGCCCTAGGTCTATAGGGACAGCATTTA